TAGACTGAGCGATTCATTTAGGGATGACTGACGGAGCTAATACTGGGTTTTAGGACTTCACAGCTCCCAAACCCTACTTGAGGCGCTGTGTTGGCTTATCTCTGACGACAAAAAGACCTTTGATTTCTAATAAGATCCCCAGGTAAATGAATATCAGAAATCCTGGTTTATTAGCAGTAGCGCAGCTCAGAAAGCATCTCGCACTTGCTAAAAGAGATTGGTTTCCCTCGGATTTGGAACACTGAATTCCATTGCGGATTACTGTTGCATCATGGGAATAATGGGGCTATTCTGGGTGTTTACTGTGAATCTGAAAACATCTAAGATTGAAAAGTTTTAGAGTTGCTTCACATTCCTAATTTTTATCATACAATTTGTATTTGGGGAAATCACTGTTTCTCATTAAGTAAATGTATTTTGTGTACAAGGGAGCTAAGGAACCCCGTGGCCTTGTGGCAGTACAGGAAGAAAGAAATGAGTATTTTAAAAAATGCAAAAGCTTGAGAAGTGGTGGAACTTTAACTGCGGTGATTGCATTAATTTCCACTGGAGAGCAGTAGAGGTTTGCACTGTATTTTCTCTCATTTGGACTGATCGAAGACTGTGACTGCTTTAAATGTGTATGCTGCGTTGTGGTTTTATGTACTAAGCTGGTGGGTCTGTGCAGGAACGATGAAGAAAAGGCTTCAGCCCCATATATTGGATTCTCATGTGAGTTCTGTTTGGACATCATCCTCCTTAAGCTACTATTTAACATAGTTCAGCCAGGGCATAGGCAATTAAAGTACAAATTTATTTATAAACATGGCAAAAGGAAGGAAAAGCTGTTTGCCTTTTAATTATGACCAAAAATTTAAATCATTTTAGCTAAAAAACTAATTAAGAAAAGACACGATATGTACTTCCCTACTCATATCTCCTGAGGTTAAATTTTCATTTAAATTATTGGAAATTATCCCTGTGAAAAGATTATTTTTTTCATATTTCTCTTTAGCTGTTGTCCACTGAGAAAAAAACATGACTTCTCTGTGTTTGACTGCTGTCTGCCATGGATTACAATCTTTACTTGATGCAGCAATGTTGAGGGAAACTGTCTTTCAGAATTTCTCTCTCCCTTTATGTCTTACATTGTTTCCTGTTTGCCTCAGTTGTCTGTATTGCGGAAGACACTGAGAGCCTTTGGGGGTTATTGACTTGTGGTTTTTTTAGGGATCCTGAATAAATCTTGAAAGAAGACCGCAAACAGCCGAAGGTGAGAGGTAACTCTGTTCTGCTCTCAGGACAAGGTTGGCAAGACATGTCTAGTTGCAGTGGACTTTCAACCTAGACCTCACCACATTATTCATACGTAATACTGCATAATGTGAGGACAGCTCTAAACAACTGCAGATTATTGTGAGGATAAAAATACTAATCATCTTGAATGGCAGTAGAGATCCTTTTCTCTGTGTAGAGTTATTGCCATCAGACTTGGCAAATTTCACAAATACATTAGCTCAAAAGCCGTACATTCTGGCAGACGGCAAAAATGGGTCAAGGTGTCTGCTGACAGCCTTTCAGGGAAGGGGTCTCTGAGGACATGCTATATTTATCCCATTTCTATTAGAAAAATTGATAGATGTGGTTTTCTTTCACAGCTGGAGCGAGTCCATCACTGAACAGGCAGGCTTTTGCCACTGGAGCTGCAGTCAGACTGAGCACAGGTAGAGGAGAGCCATTTGTGCTTGTGTTTTATTTCTAGTCACCTGCAGGTTTTCTAACATGGATAAATGAAGTCTTTAAAAAGAAGGGACGTTAGAAAAATTACCTGGGAGCCAAGTTTCAAGTGGTGTAAAAATGTATCTTATTGACAGTCTGACCGCTGTGATCATGTTTTATGATATGCACCTCGCAGTCAGTGAGATCAGAAACTGATGGCTTAAAAATAGAACAAGTTATGGAATTATATCCTAGTTGTTTGCCAGGAGATTAAGAGACATTTGTGATCTGTCAGTTTAGTAAACTAATCAAGCCTACGAAACAGCACGAAGAAATGTGACAGTATTGACTATGTAGCTTGAAAGCAGTGGCTCTCTGTAGTAAGTACTGGAGTAAAATGCAATTCACGCTCTTGGGGAAAGAACTGCCTGAAAAAGAAATTAGTTTTCTGGATAACAAGAAAAATTATATTCCCTATCCCTAGAAACAACAGTTTATCTGAAGGTAAATTGATTTGCAATTTACCAGAGAAGAAAGTTAGCCCTTGAATCGGTATGGGGTGAGAAGATCTTAACTGGGACTTTACCCAGAAGAAGAAATTGCTGTGACAGCTTTGTTCTATGGTGCCTTATACCTTAAAGTGCAACAGAAATCAAGCTAAAAACAGATGAATGACAGCGATGCTTAGCTAAATGAAGAGTAGTATAGCCATGAGCAGCAAAACATGTCAGACTTTTGAAGCTGATTATAAGGAGCAAGAGGTGCACATCACAAAGTGCAAGTCCCGATGAGAACTCCCCAAATGTTCTGAGTGGTACAGATACAGGCAGTTAGCTGGGGCCACAACAGCAAAGCTAGGAGCTATGTTTAAATTCTCCTGAAGTTTGGAGACATTGTCGGTCAGTCTTTTGCCTCAAGCCCATTTTTAAAATCTCTACTGGTTGTAGGTAATGGCTTGAGCTCAGTAATTATACTTGGCTCACTCACTGAAGACTTCAAAGGTCTTTACTTTCTCTTCCTATGATTGGGCTGTTTTTAGGAAATTACTTGTCTAGACTGTCTACTTCTTTGCATTTTAGGTAAAAATGTAATTTTCAATGTAATTTAGTAATTTTGGTACACTTTTCAACCAGCAGAAAAGCTGCTCATTTGTACATTAAAAATATCAAGGAGACACGCTTCTGTGGTGTTTCGCCTACTATATAATGCCCAGCATGCTCTGCTAAGCATGGATTAATCTCAAAAGTGGCAAAGATGACCCTTATTTAATGAGGTTAAAAGACTTGGCAAAGATCACACAGCAGACCTACAGTAAAGCTGCAAGAGGCGCTTGCCCACCTTATAGCAAGTCCTAAGCTTTAATCATTAAATGACATAGTTTCAGCAAGGCTGTGAATAGATGTCCTATTGCTTTTAAGTGAATATTTTTCTAAACACCCGGTTTCTAGAAACCTTTTTCTATTTTTAAATACCGTTTTTGCCTTAGTGAGGATTATGGCATTAGAGTTTGTAATAGGAGTATGAAATGTCTTAAATAAATGTGCATTGAAACAACAGTATACAGTAGATTGACATTATCAAAATACTCAGAAATTCTAAGTCCACAATAACTTCCAGGGGGACTTGCTGGCATGCACAATGCTGTGGGTTTTTTAAACACCTTTAATTAAATCAGAGTACATCATAGTATGATCACACCTGGAAAAGACCCTTGAATACTAGTAAACAGGTTGTATGGATAGATCCTTATATCAGATCTAGATTCTCCCACCAGAGCTAGAAGTACAACATGAGGGGGCGATGGATTGCAGCGAAGAAAAGGGATCCCGAGTACAGAAATCCAGGTTGTCAAACAACTGGACGTATCCCTGTTCAGCAGCAGCTAAGTCCTGCCCAGAGGGAGGTGAAATCCACATTATTTTGCTGGGAAGTTCATCCCAGTTTGAGGAATGACCGCAGGACAAGCGGGGATTTTTCCTCCCGGCGGGATGCGCTATGAACACAGGAACCCCGATGTCCGGGTGTTTGATCCTCGGGTCTCTCAAAGGCCATAAAACGCTCGAGGCAAAACCGTTAAGTGGGAAATTGTTGAAGGGTGTTTTGACTCTGAGATCTAATATAGTAGAACCAGCAAAACAAAAAATAAAGCCGTCTTTAAAGAGGAAACTTAAAGAAAGCAGAACAGTACGATAATGAGATTTTTATTAAAATGATTTTGTCTGCCTTTTGTTAAATAAGCAGCTAAGACTGAAATGCTTAACAAAGGCATTTCCCTCTCATCCCCGCTTTAATAACCCGGAAAACAGGAGATCCGCCGTGCCGGTGCCGGTGCCGGTGCCG